CAGCCGAGACCCGTGCCCAATCTGAGCGCACCAGAGGACTACGCACAAGCATCCTACGGACTGCCTCGGGGGCGTGCCGCCGGTAACGAGGTGTGGAACCTTGTGGGCTTCGAAGTGCGCGTGCGGGAGCTTAGGGAGAGGATAGCTGCGGACCGGCGTCACCAACAGAGCCAGCAGAGGCGGCTGTCGGGTGACACCATTACTGACGAGATGTGAAGACGGTTGTGGGCAGGCGGACAGGCGGGCAGGAAAGGGTGTCTGTGGTCTTTTTCAAAGACCCCAAACAGCGGCGGCATCAGTAACAGCGGCATGGTAAACGGGTATTATTCTAAGTCTTTTTTGCTTTTTTTTTCTTGCTTGCTCTTATCCCCCCCTTGCAAGGATGTCCAAGCTTTTCCTCGTAGACCAGCCCTCGTGATCTCGTACCAGACGTCTACCGAATGACCTGAGTGCCCTCGGCAGGCTCGAGGATGCGCCACTCGCAGTCGATCTGCTTCGGGTTGGCGTCCTTGAGGGTCTGGATGATGCGGTTGGCAATGGCCTCGAAGTTCCCGGTCGCAAGAGCAAGAATGGTGGGGCCGGCGCCGGAGAGGCAGACGCCGAGGAAGCCGGGCTGGTTGCTCGGCGACATGGACTCGACAACCTCGCTGAGACCGGGGATGAGGGTTTGGCGGTAGGGCTGGTGGATCTTGTCCTGCATGGCGAGGTGGATGAGCTCCGGGTCCGGCGGCGAGGTGCCGAGGGCGACGGGCAGGAGGGCGATGCGCTGCATGTTGAAGGTCTGGGCGGACGCGTCAGTCAAGGGAAGGGGAGGAAGAGGGGCGGCAGCGGCGGCAGCAGTAGCAGCAGCAGCAGCAGCAACAACAAGAGCAGACGTACGACATCGGGGCGGGTGTAGTGCGGCGGCAGGACCTCGCGGGCGAGGTGGGTGGGCACCTGGAAGTTGGGGATGATGGCGATGGCCTTGATCTCCTTGGCCCAGGGGAACTTGATGTGGTGGCCGATGCCGTGGGGCGGGGCGGGCGGGGTCTCGCCCGTGTCGACGCCGCCGGCCGG